GGAAGGGGCGGGACTGGGGTGAGGGGAGACAGCTATCCATGGCACCAGGGAGGACTTGACAGGTTCACTGAATCATTCAAAAGCACAGAAGGAAAACCCAGTAGGTGATCATGCCCTGATTGATGTAATAAATTACAGCTGAAAAACCAAGAGCACATGGCTTACAAGGGAGAGGCTATGTTCAAAAAAGCACGTTCAGGTTTTATGATTCCTTCCCATCCAGAAATGCGGTCATATCCTATGCAATCAAAAATAAAAAAATATCTAGGGGCTTCCATGGGGGGAGGGGGTGGAATAGGAAAAATCAAGTTGGCAACTGGGATTGTGCAACCAAAACCCTGTCTCTTTTTATGCGTGTCAAAAAGAGACAGGGCTTCAGTTACACAGCCACAACATTCCTCCAGACTTCCACAGAGATATCCATCCCGTAATGCTTCAGATTTGAGTATAACGTAGATGACATCAATGATACCGAATAAAAAGCAAAGAAATGCCTTTTATGCCAGTACTGGTTTAATTACGAGGATTGAATGAAAAGTAATGTCTGTTATGTCACCAGCAGATGGCAGTAATGATGCGCTAGAAGCTCTGACAGGTTCTTTAGCATTTGTTCTTTCACTTCAGTTGTCAGGAAGTTGCTTTGTGTTGCTCTTGTTTGTGAAATGAGAGCCTACACTGAGTACTCATCAGTGTGCTTTAAGCAATGTGCTGGACTTAATTTTTGACTCTTGAAGGAATTGAAATTTGGCACCGAATACAAGTTGTTTATGCTGAGTACTGAGTCTTGATGTGAGTACTGTGCATCACTGGGCCAAAAAATGTAAAGATGGTAAACCTGGAAGAGTTGATCTGTATGAACAAACAGTGAACAAACTGTGACAGCAACCAATGAGTTTCACATGAGAATGGCTGATGAACTCATTAAGGACAATCAGCAGATCACTCAGAGGGAAGCTGCCATCAAGCTTGGCATTTCATAGGAACATGTGGGTCACATTACTGATATTTTTCAATATCAGAAGGTTTATGCAAGATGTGTTCCTCGCATGGTGACGGCAGAGGTGAAAGCTTCAAGAGTTGAAATTTGCCAGCACTTGTTCTCAGGTTACAAGAATAAAGGTGAAGTATATCTTCACAGAATCACAACAGCTGATGAAACATGGGCTCATTGTTATGACCCCGAAACAAAATGTCAATCCATGGAATATCATCACAAAGCTTCACTTGCAGAAGAAAACATTCAGAACCTAAGCTTTGGCAGGAAAACTCATGGTTCCAGTTTTTGGGGTCATGTTGTTGTTGTTGTTCAGTCATTAAGTCGTGTCCGACTCTTTGTGATTCCATGAACCATATTGCGCCAGGCCTTCCTGTCCTTCACTGCCTCCCTGAGTTTGCTCAGT